GTTGCAAAGCCAGTTTTAAACATTACTCATTTCTTGGGGACGATATTTATTACTCTTTTTTTGCAAAACGCAAAAAATCGACTTCTATATCTACCGACTTTTTTTTGTGGAATTTGTACATCATTGGTACATCAAACTGAAATAGCAGATAATATTATGTGATCAAAAAAGAAATTTTAAATATGAATGCAATTAAATATAGCATACATTCGGAATAAACAAACCTTTATTTCAGCAAGGACTTCACATTCGACATTCCATTCTTGAGCTTTTCTAAGAATGTGCTAAACATTCATTGAGAAAAAAAATGACAATTTCAATTTTATTTGAATTAAATGAAACATTAGATAACATACCTCCCGTGTAGAACTTTTGTGTAAAGAATATACCGAAGTTGTTGCAACCTAAAATTTACCTATTAGAAATTACTTTAAAATATTGGAATAACACGTGCTTCATTAATGTTAACCTCAAGAGCTTTTTTTAGGAATATCATGTCAATGCCTTTATTATTTTTCGTTCCAAACGGGGGATTCATCACAATCGTATCTACATTATTTGTCCATCGACGTAATGGATCTAATGTGAGATCAGTAAGGACAAAATCCACATCAACATTATGATTTGAACAATTTTTCTGCGCAATGCAAAGGGCTGATGGATCTATGTCTAACGCCAAATTGTAGCTGAATTGAAAGACATTAATAAGATTATGAGATTATAGACGAAATTTATTTAATGCAAAGTATAAAGAGTGCTTACCCGGAATCAAGAAAGTTGGATGCGATGCTGCTCTTTTATTATGATAGAGTAAATGCTCGATTTTTTTTTTCTTTTTTTGTAGAAATACAAGTAAATTTGCATTCATTCAAACTCTTACCTTAAAATGCCACATCCACAGCCAAAATCTGCAATAGTCTTGCCTTCAATGTCGTCATAATTGAAATGTGCAGTGAAAAGCATGCGTGCCGCAAGGTGTGGTGTTGTACAATATTGTTCCAATTCAATTTTTGGCTTATCTACGTTTATCAAAAAAATGAGATAGTGTGTAAATTTATTGTAAAGTGTGTCTAATTTATAGTGTCTGAGAATTATTACCAAATACTGCAACATTTTGAAGAGAACTTTCCAATTCTTTGAGACGCATCACGAAAAGCCAAAATTTTGTTAGTCAGAATATTACGCTTAAACATAACGATAGTTATATTTGATTGGCTGGAACTATGCAACCTGCAGATCCTAATTTATAGATTGTGATTGGTCAACTAAGGGCGTTCTCAAGCACTTACCTCAATGGACTCAATAACGAATCTGATTGGTTTGTTTGATCAAACTAGCCAAACAGATTTTTTATTGAATTCATTGAGGTAGGTGCTTGAGAACGCTCTAAATTAGTGCTTCGCAATCGGTACGGTAATTCTTACTCAAACCATTACGTCCTGATTGACATTCTCAGAAATAAAATTTGGTTTTTTTTTCAACCTTTGAACAAAGATATTTCAGCATCGATTTTGGGTAAATAGTTATCGAGGTATCGATTATCAAGACTGCTAAAATCGGTGAAAATTTTTTTATTTCAATTCTGGAATCAAAATAAAAAAATTTTGTAGGTAGTTATCAAGATATCCTCGTTCAAAGTTTAAAAATAATTTGGACAATTATCAAAATGGATTACGGGTAAGTTTTTGAGTAATAATATCTTTGACTGATCGGTGATTGATTATCTACATAAGAAATTTAAGACGTCAAAATTTTTTAGCCAATCAGAATTGTTTAGCGTGATACAAAAACATGGGACTATTTATTATATTTGATCAACTCGGAGCACTACCCGCAGTCTTTGTTTTGACAAACGTCTCGATAACTACCTATCGCTATTCAAATCGATGAAAATTTTTTTAATCCATAGAATTAAAATAAAAAAAAAAGTTTCATTGATTCTGGATAGATAGTTATCGAGATATTATCGCTCAAAATTTAAAAAAAACCTGCAGTCTAATGATAATCATTCAAGAATACCTTGATAACTACCTATTCAAAACCAATGAAAAATTTTTTTATTTTACTTCTATCGCTATAAATCCATAGAATTAAAATAAAAAAAAATTTCATTTATTTTGAATTAGTTACTGGTTAAAAATTTTCAATTGATTGATTTTTCAACGATTTGGATCACTGTGGGTAGGTTTTTTTTAACATTAAATTTTGAGCAATGATATCTCAAAAACTACCTATCCAATAAGTGAATTTATTCTATGGATTCATAGAATTAAAATAAAATTAATTAAATAAAATAAAATTTATCGATTTTGAATAAGGAGTAAATCCTTGTTTAAAAGGTCAAAAATAATTTAGGTGATTGTCAAGATTGTAAATTTTGAACGATAATTACCTACTCAAGATCAGTAAAAATTTTTTATTTTAATTCTACGGATTCATATTAGAGTTCCAATCCAGATAAATCCGTCATCCGTTTATCCCGCATCTAATTATCCGGATAATTCAGATCGCTCAGTTATCTGGATAATCCGACAGGTATACGGATAATTATCCGGATATCAATAGTAAATGGATAGTAAATAGATATCCGAATAAATTCAGATCGGGATATCTGATAGTTATCCGAATAAATGCTTAATGGATTGGGAACTCTAATTCATATAATAAAAAAAAATTTCATTGATTTTGATTTTTGAAAAAAATAGACAAATTTATCCTATCAGAACGTGATAGTTCGAGTAGAATCTCAAAGGCTGTCACTTTTTTTTCGCCATACCTCCAATAGGAGATCCTTAATTGACTGAAAGCATCCTCAAGCGCCTTAATAAGTGAGCCGAATGTGTTTATAATTGTGTATTTGCGGGGCATTTGTGAAATACCTCAAAATTTGAAAAATTTGGCTACGTATTAATATGTAAATATAGATTTGGTTATGATGCGTCATTTAATAAATTTCTATGTCTAATGAGATGCTTCGGGAGTGGAAAGATGGGTTAGACGCGTTATCAGTACAGATCAGGGATTCAAAAAATTTTTTCGAGGTTTAACATTGATTGATTAATATAAAAATTGGTAACTAAAATTTAATTTTGGGGACCAAATACTTGAATTTTATGACCAATTATCTGCTTAATTTCGCAAACGGGCCATAACGGTAATGATACACCTAATTTATTAATAACAGATAAATAATGACCTGAGTTTATCATTCCGGTCAATTAGCTTCGCCTCAATCTTTTTCTTTGGCATTGACTTATCAAATTACTAAAGAGTTATTGTCTTAAACCTTTCGTTATCAACACTAAAGTATTGCTATTACGATGTGCTTTTTTTTTTTTACTACGTAGTATAAATTTTATAAACGAATAAAGATTAGAAATATAGTAATTCTTTCGATGACGTTTACCCCTGATAAATTGTAATATGTGGAAACTGGTAAATAAGAAATGAGCAATAGAGGCAGCCGATTGTCGTTCTTACTATTTTTTGTACGTATGTGTTTGCAAAATTTTCGATAATAACATAGGTGACTACAGTTTTGCATATTCTGAGTATGCAATCGTTGACCTTGTGATTTCGATATTTTTGCCATGACTAACCTACCTGACAATAAATAACATGGAATCAAAAGCTACTTAACAGTTAAGCATTGATTGAGATCCTTATTTTGATTTGTCGTAGTAATACAATTATCAGCAAATCATTATAAGAGTATACCTGAACGAATTTCAATAATATCATTATAAATACTATTTCGATTACTAGAAAATCGCTGCTTAAGAACGCCAATTATATATGCGCGATTAAAATGATTATAAAGCTAGTACCTACCTTACATTAACATCTAATTGTACTTCTAAAACTCAGCATTTAAATTTTAACCTGACACAATTTTAAAAAAAGAACCAATTATATTAGTTTGCGCGGCCTAATATGCCATCAAATCAGGAATGGGATCTACCTGCGACAAATCAAAAGGAACTTGAAACGACATCAACTAACTAGGTTAATTCTAATTCTAATCCCATGAAAGGCTTTATGCAAAATTACGTTAATACTGCGAGTCTTCGTATCCAATTGTATCTATATATCTATATAACGATAGGTAAATTTTATATCTGATATTATACCCGTACGTACGTACGTACTGTACGTACTGAATTGTTTGCAGTACAATTGAATTTTTGATGACGTAATAAAGGCTTTATTTACCGATTACAGGATGATAGTGATCTATGTGTGATCGGTTTTCTTTTTTTTTTTTTTTTTTTTTTTGATAGCCAGCAAA